TTGGCTTAAAAAATAAACAAAGTTGTTTAACCTCATTGGATTTTGCAAGACAACATTGCTTGTTGTGTTTAGTAGAGTGACAAATTGAGCATGTCATCCACTTGCCTCTTTTAAAATTTTGATCTTTTAGTTCGTGATATACTTTTTATATTCACTTATCTATTGATTTAATTTTAGAGATTTGATCATATCAGATTCAGTATCACAACTATATATGTTCGTGCTCTTGAAGAAGACAATATAATGATACCGATTCGGGTAATCATAATTATTCCATAATAGTTACATAATTTTCAGATTCTTTTCAACATGCATATTGTAAATATATCATGTATATAAAAGACAAAAATCATATGCTCTGTGCACAAAAAAGAAGTTTTCTTTTTTTCTTTAGACTAAAAATAAATAATACAAAGATAAATTTAGTAATTTAAGCAATTTATTTATTGTGTTTATAGTTATTTAGTCCATTCCTTGTGAAATATTGGTTCCAATATCATCTCTATATGTAACATATTACTATTAGTAATAAATAACACAATAAGTAATTATTCTAACTATATTTCTTAAGCTTATTTTTTATTTTAACTTTTTATGATTAATTTTTTACTGAGTACATATTCATTAATAACTTATTAGAAATTTAAATTAATCAATATAATTTATAGAATGAAATCTTTATTATGCTATTAGTAAAAATGCTGTAATATATCAATACACCTACTATAAAAGACAATCCTGGAAAAGGTATAATGTGCAAACTTAAACAAATAAATACAAAGTATCACTTCTATTCAGAAAAAATAAAAAAAAAAGAAATCCAATTTTAAATGTAACCCAGAAAATTTAGTAGATTTGTTTAGATAAAAGAAAAAAAAAATCTGCCCTTTTATAAGAATGATTATGTCAAATGGATTTTCTATAAATTGTGGGCATAAGGATCACAGAGAACCGAAGGAGAGAGCATTGTAAATACATGTCATATATATGTTTATATTATCATAGATATTATACATACAATAGATATACATATGTATTCTGCAGAGATAATGGCAGGATTATTGTTTCTTCTATTATTAGTTGGTCTAGCTTTTCTTCTTACATTTACCAGAACCATTTATGCCAAGAAGCAAGAATCAGAACCTAAAAATTTACCTCATGGAAGCATGGGGTGGCCCTTGCTTGGAGAGACTCTTGCCTTCCTCAAGCCTCATAAATCAAATTCAGTTGGCCATTTCTTGCAAGACCACTGCCTTAGGTAATTCTCTCCTCACCCCTTATTTCCCTCATTTTTTACACAAAATCGAAACAACATGGTAGTATGTATGTTTATATATATAGCTCGGACACTAGTGCTTCAAAAATACCACGCAGAAAGTATATATACTACTTCCTCTCTTTTCATTTATTATTTTGTATCTTTATCTTTTTTATTTAGTAACGCTTAAATCAGATGATGCTGTAATTTCTTTGTTGAGAATTTAATCCATTTGGTTGTAATATTATCGTAAATCACATTCGAAAAGATTTGAAAGGACTATATGTTAATGGGTTTTAGTGGTGGAAACAATTAAAGTAGGATACAGTATGTAACTTATCGGACCATATATAGGTTAATCCTTTATCTGTATTATATATGTATAGGTATGGGAAGATTTTTAAGTCACATCTATTTGGTTCCCCGACCATAGTTTCCTGTGACCATGAGTTCAACATGTTCATACTCCAGAATGAAGAGAAGCTGTTTCAGGTGAGCTATCCCAAGCCCATCCATGGCATTCTTGGCAAGTTCTCTTTACTCACCATTTCAGGAGAGCTTCACAAGAAGCTGAGAAACATTGCTGTATCTTTCATTGCTACTGCCAAATCAACACAAGACTTCCTTCTTTATGTCGAAAAGCTTTCAATCTCAATGATGAACTCTTGGAAAGGTTGCACGGAAATTGCCTTCCATAAAGAAATTAAAAGGGTACATATATAATCTTTTATATAATATCAATTATATATTCATATGTAAATTTAGTTTCTTTCTATCCGTGCATTATATATAGAAGACAGTTAGTACTTTCAGAACACAACTTATTTATTTTGATCAAAACACAGTTTACTCTCAATCTCATGGTGAAGCTTCTGTTGAGTATTGAACCAGAAGATCCACTAGCCTTAAACATATTGGAAGATTTCCTAACTTACATGAATGGTTTTGTGTCATTGCCAATAAATATCCCTGGGACAGCTTACTCCAATGCAGTCAAGGTATACATATATGGACATATATATATATATATAAATTATATTGATCATTTCTCTTGATCCCACCATAACTGGGTATGTGCTGATTCCGGCAAAATAACACGTTTATAGAAATCGATTCTCGTTGTCTTCATCCCCGCTTTTGTTTTCTAAAACGTAGGCTCGAAGAAGGCTTTCATCAATTGTAAGAGGGGTAATGAGAGAAAGGGAAGGAAAGATGGATTTGATGGAATTAAGAAGAAAAGAAGACTTCTTAGATGTGCTAATGTCCAAGAGAAAACTAAGTGATGAAGAGACAGTAAGCATTGTGTTGGACATCTTACTGGGAGGATATGAAACAACTGCTACTCTACTTGCTTTAATTGTCTACTTTTTGGCCCAATCTCCTAATGCTTTTCAAACACTAAAGGTATAGACATACATATTTATAATATATATACACACACACAAAACTCTTCCTTTGTTTTTACATGCATTCATATAAATAAACCATTATAATATTGATTCTCTTTTATGTTACTTCATCAAATTTTCAACTCCAACTTCGAATTTTATCAAACACTTGATAATTTATTGAGTCTATATATATATATATATGCAGGAAGAACACCAAGCAATAAGAGAAAAGAAAGAAAATGGAGAACCCTTAAACTGGGAAGATTACCAGCAAATGGAATTCACTTCCTATGTAAGTACTATACCCATTTTACAGCAATTGTTTTTAATATATATCTTCTTTTTATTTAATTAATAACCAGCTGTTTTCATATATATATATATATATATATATATGTTGTGTGTATGTATACATATGTAGGTGATATGTGAAGCCATGAGATGTGGGAATGTAGTTAAGTTCGTTCACCGAAAAGCTCTTGATCAAGACATCAACTTCAAAGGTTAATTATTTCTCTTCTTTTTACTTTTTCTTGTAAGTTCCTTTCTTTTAATATTATAATTATTTCTGTTTCAAAAAATAAAAATTAATTCGAGTTTTCAACTTGGTATTATAAGTCAAATTAAAAAAATTTAAAAATCACGTAATCTTATGTTTATCCGAAATTATAATAGATTCATTAAGAAATATTCTAAATTAATTATTAATTTATTGAAAAGTTTCTTATATGTATATATATATATATATATGTTCATAGTCAGTGGAGATGAGTTTTGGTTAATTATCATAATATTGCAGGATTTGTGATTCCTTCTGGATGGAAGGTTCTTCCTGTCTTCACAGCAGCACACTTTAATCCATTTCTTCATGAAAATCCTTCAGAGTTCAATCCCTGGAGATGGACTGTTAGTGCCTCATCATATCCATACAAAATATATATATACACACACACACACACACACATATACATGCACATAATACATATTAATAATAGCGTATTGTGAGTCAAATTGTGCATCTTATATGTACGTTTGATCTTTTTTTTTTTGGTGAAAAGATATATATATGTATATTACTTAAGCTTTAATTATAGTTGTGTAAATTGATGTTGAGACAGGATAAAGGAATGAGCAAAAGAGTGACACCGTTTGGTGGTGGACCGCGGCTATGTCCTGGGGCAGAACTTGCCAAAGTTGAAATTGCCTTCTTCCTTCATCATCTTGTCTTAACTTATAGGTATATACACACACACACACATATGATGGCCTAATACTTAATCTTCATTATACATCATGCATATGTATGTATATATGTGTATATATATATATATATATGTGTGCGATTAGAAATTATTAATTAATTTAGACCTACCTACAAATTTACATATGAAATTGTAACCCATTTAGGAACCAACATAATTAGACCCAATATGTTTCTTTTAATTGTTTTAATGTTCTCTCTAATTAATATGGTCCTTCATCATGCACACACACACACATATATATATATATATATATAAATTTAATAATATGCATATTCATACTTGCAACATAGTTTATAATTTATGTCATTAAAACATAGGTAATGACATTTTTACGGTAGTATAATATTTAAATTATTAAATATTTAACTTTAAAATATAAAATCTGAATATTGTATTTTATTTGTAAGTACATTAATATATATATATATATTTTTAATGGTGATTAATTAAGTTAAATGTGTTGTTTTTTTTTTTTTTTTTTGACAAGGTGGAAAACAAAATCAGATGACTTCCCGCTTGCATACCCTTACGTGGAATTTCGACAAGGCTTACTTTTGGAGATTGAACCGTCAAGAAATCTTAATTAAATTTAATTATCTACTCAATAATATGTAATTTAACCTTATTATTACAAAATTAATTCTCCAAATTTTAAATATTAATTCGTACCCCTCTCTCCTCTTAATTAATTTTTTAATTTCTTATTTGCAACCAAAATAATTCACCATTTTATTAGTATATCAACAATGGTTAATTTCGTAATATTTAAATTTTTAATTTATTAGTGTGATTTAATTATTAAATTAAGTCTTTGTACTAAAAATATTTTATATGTAAATAATATTAATATTTAGATGAAATAATATACTAATTAAAATTAATTTTATTTCAACTCATAGTTATATGTTTTACCACATTTTTCTTAACAAATGGAAATGTAAATATATTATTAAATTAAAATTACTGATAAATGTATACGTAAAAATAATATAAAATTCCAAATTAAAAAAAATAATAACAATTTTTATAATTAATGTTATAAGTTGAAAGTTATGGTAACTCCCGTTGTTAAATTACCTCTCGGTAAAAAATTAATTAATGTTTGGTAAAAAAAAAATGATTTTAATATATATATATATATGTATATGTATGTTTATCATAAAGCCCAATTAGAAAAGCCCAAGCCCAATCCCAATTTCACTTTCTTTCCCTTTCTTGATTTTCTTTTTTTTAATTTTCTTTTCTCTGATTTGGAGCCTTCTTGGTCGCCAAGTCTCTCTGGTTTTCTCCCCTTTTCAAGCCCTCGTCTCATCCCCCTCTCCATTACCTCCTACTTTACTCATCCGAATACTCCAGTTCTGGGTTACAGCATCTGGATTGCTCAGAAGCAAGAAATATCTCCAGCTTTCTTCTCCATCGTCGTGCTTCTTGACGTCACCAACAGATAGGGTTCGGTCTTCATCAGCCAGGTAAAGTTAATGCCTCATCCACTTGATCCTCTTTCTCTGTTACGCGTATTTGTTAGCTTCTCTTTTATTTAGGGATCTTATGTGTTGATTGTACTCAAACTGAGTTCCTGGTCGGTGGCTTGTGCATTTTCGCTTTGGTATCGATTTCCTTTCTCTCGCTCTCTTTCTCTGTCTTTCGTTTTTTTCCTTTCCACGGATCTGTTTGTTTGTTTGTTTGCAATGGTTTATTGTCGAAATAAAGTGAATGTATGAATATTCTCTCCATCTCCGTGCCTGAATGAGCAAGTTTGAAGTTCGTTTCAATTGTTCGTTTTATGTGGGTTGTTGATCTTGAAATGATTAATTCTCTCTCTGCTCTTTCGTTTTATTTGCATATTATATTTTCTTTCTTTTTTTCTTATTGGCGGTTTCAAGTATGATTACCTTGTTCTGCCCGGTTATGGTGGAAATTGTTTTACAACTACGCATTCAGAAAAAAAAAAAAAAAACAAAGATTTGAGATTTTGACTGATAAGGGTGGTGTTTGATCATAATTCCTTGATTTTCAAAGTTGTTATTGTATCTGGTGTTATTTGGTTTTTGGGTATAGTCTGAATTTTGCTTCCAAAAGTTTTGGGTTTTGTTATGAAGTAAAGCAACTGAAAATTTTTCGGTAAATGAGGATGGTTTGCTAGATGCTAATGCCTAGTTATACTCACACTAGCATTTGATTTTCCTGAATCCTGTATGGGTTGGTTCTATCCGTAATTGTAAATGTGTTTAGATCCTGTTATCTGTTTGAATGTTGGATTTACACAAACAAGGAGGGATTTCCTTTCATCAGTTTCTAAGTGATGACTTTGGTTCAAATTTTAATTTCATGGAATACAAATGGGAAAACAATGCAAATAAAACAAAATACAAATATTATTCTAATTTTAAGTTGTTCATGTAAAAATTTAAGTTAAATGGCTTTGTGATCATTTTCTTGGCAAGTGAAAATACAAATTTTTTGTTATAAGGTTGAATATATAAATCAATTTCATTTAATTCTACATGAAGTATCAAATTATTAAGATCTAAAACGGAAGGAGAATATAGTAAACATGAACAGAAACCTAATGTAAACCTTTTCATGTTTTCTCCCATTGTTCTGGTTTCATTTCAATGCCTTAATCTGTTAGGGATGTTGATTTATTTGTTGTCAGGTTTCTCTTTTCTATGGATGCTGGATATTGTTGAGTTATGGTTTTGCTAATGCCTAATTTGTGGCAATTTCTTGTTTTGTTTTTTCACAGGTGTTGAAGTTTTTTCAGGTGTTCAGGGTGACCATCAGTTTCTTGTGAACACGATTGTCTTGGCATGTCTTTTTACAATTCTGCTATTGTTGTTTTAAAATAATTTTAGTTTAAACTGTATGGTTTAGAACATGGTTACTGGTTGCAGGAAGCCACTAATGTTTTGTTGGATGTAGGTTAGTTTAGTTTGAAAATGCCTGGAGCAATTGAAGTTCCCCCCAAGGGTGGATTTAGTTTTGATCTCTGCAGAAGGAATGATATGCTTGCAAAGAAGGGTGCCAAACCCCCATCTTATCGGAAAACCGGTACAACAATTGTTGGGCTGATTTTCCAGGTACTTCACCCCTGCCACCCACCCCCATCATCTTCCTTTTTTCCTTTCTACATTGAATATCTTCTATATGGGCTTGAGCTATTCTGAGCCTGACGTCTTGTAGAACTTAATAATTAGCTGCTTCTGTACCGAGTTATATACTCTCTTTGATGTGTAAAGTGTGAAGGCAGGGCGCTAGAAATTATAATATCATAACACGTTAGGTAATGCTATAGAATCATATGAATAGACTAGCTGGTAATTGAAACTGGTCAAAATGGCATGAGGTGGTAGTATACGGTCAAGAAATAAGCGCCTAAGGCCGAGCGCTTCCCTCTTGAGTTAGGGGTGGCGTGGTATTCCACGAGAGAGGTTTTTATTGAAAATCGTGGTACACAATAGTGTGATAGGCGCACATTAAAATTGGGTTCCATGGCCGCTTTGCTGCTCTAGTTTCTGTAGCCAATGTGAGGTGATTTCCCTACATATCATTTTAATATTTCATGCCAAATTTTATTTAAAGGACAAGTTTTATTCAGAAGACAACCATTTCTGGGTTGCTTTTCCAGGCATGATATCCCATTGCCTCCTTTTTTTTTTTTTTTCATGTCCCAGGTACTATATAACCTATCATTGTTTTCATATGCAATATTTGTTTTCCTAGATTACCCATTTACTTGAATCCGGTCCAAATGACAAGCATAGATGGTAAATAATCAACAAATGAGCGCCTAAGGCCGAGCGCTTCCCTCTTGAGTTAGGGGTGGCGTGGTATTCCACGAGAGAGGTTTTAATAAAAAATCGTGGCGCACAATAGTGCGATAGGCGCACATTAAAACTGGGGCGCCATAGCCGCTTTGCTGCTTTAGTCTCTGCAGCCAAAGTGAGGTGATTGCCCTACATATTCTTGTAATTTTTCATGCCAACTTTTGCTTTTAAAAGAATGCATAATGCTCATTTCATAAGCATATGGTGTTGTTAAAAATTAGGTTAACAGACTTAGTGCTGCAATGGAGGTGGATTTTACTTGTAAACTGCCAGTATAAATTGGGAAAAGCTAGATTAAGAGTGGTGATAATCTGGATCCTTTAACAGGCTTTAACCATAAATGTTCCTTTTTACTTTCAGGAAAATAATCAGTTGTTCTCTGTCTATATTTTGAGTTATGGGAATTGCCTAATAAAAAGAAGTCCTTGACATCTTTCTTAGTTTTCAACACTTACTTTGGAGCAGGAACTCTACTGATATGCATTGCTGCATTTTCAAAATTTAAGTTCAGAAAATATACACATTGATCCATCTAGCTGCTCCTTCCCTTTTTCCCTTTTGATATTGCTTGTCTTTATTCCTGGCAAATATGGTAGGATTTACATAAAGTGTTAAACTCTGTGATTTTGTATAGGATGGTGTCATTCTTGGGGCAGATACTAGGGCAACCCGAGGGACCCATTGTTTGTGATAAGAACTGTGAGAAAATTCATTATATGGCACCAAACATATATTGCTGTGGAGCAGGAACTGCTGCTGATACAGAAGCAGTTACAGGTATCAACTTCTCTTTTTATGTTTAATGTATTAGTGTGAGCTTGCAGTTGAACTTAGCTCTTCATGCTAGAACATGTGAATCAGGCTATTTGTATATTTCATTTTATCAAGTATAGCTAATGCATTGTTATGGTGCCTGCTTATCTAAAGACATGGTCAGCTCACAGCTGCAGTTACATAGGTATCACACCGGCCGAGAGTCTAGGGTTGTTACAGCACTGACTCTCCTCAAGAGACACCTTTTCAGGTGAAGGTTTTTTTCTGCCCTTATAGTAGATACTCTTCGCTGATAAGCAACATCTCTTTGTGGTAAGCATATGAAACTGACTGTTAAATGTTTTTAAAAGTTATCAAGGTTATGTCTCAGCTGCTCTGGTTCTTGGTGGAGTTGATGTCACTGGGCCCCATTTGCATACAGTGAGTTTTTCTGCTTGCATATGTTTTTGGCATTACGAGGTTCTTTTTGCTAGTTTAGTCGTTCCACTTCTGAACTTCTTATGTGTGAAATGGGCTCTTTGCAGATATATCCTCATGGATCAACGGACACATTACCCTTTGCTACTATGGGTTCTGGTTCTCTTGCTGCAATGGCTATATTTGAGTCAAAGTACAGAGAAGGTCTAACTGTAAGTTTGCTTGCATTATCATGAAGAAATAATAACCTCAGTGTTAGTTATGGATATCATCAATACCTTAAAAGATGTCTCTGCATATCCTTGATTTATTCTTTATGTTGTCTTTCCAGAGAGATGAAGGAATAAGTCTCGTATCCGAGGCTATATGCTCTGGTATATTCAATGACTTGGGAAGTGGAAGCAATGTTGATATTTGTGTTATAACCAAGGTTCGATACCTTTCTGCGTTTGTTATTTTCAGAAAGAACATGAGAAACCTTTTGCGCTCCATTTTTTATATAGCAGTTTCTCATCTGGTGTACAATGGCACAGGGCCAGAAGGAGTACCTGAGGAACCATATGTTGCCAAATCCACGCACTTACATCAGTGCCAAAGGCTACTCTTTTCCTAAGAAGACTGGTTAGTGCTATCCGATTTAGTTATCCTTTTTTCTTTTGCTTCTACCAATTTCAACTTTAACATCTAAAACAATAGCCTGAGAATTGTATGAGCTTATTTCATTCAGCTCTATTCTCTGTGATTGCAGAGGTCCTCCTAACAAAGATCACTCCGTTGAAGGAAAAAGTGGAAGTGATTGAAGCAGGAGATGCCATGGAAGAGTAGAGATCACTGTCTTAAGAGCAACACGGTTGAAATTGGTATATCTTACGATGTCCACTATCAAGACCCACAGGACCTTACTTTTTATTCGACACAAATGCCTTGTGTTCATTAGATGGAGATATTATGGCTCTTTGTTAGCATTTTCATGAGGAATATGTATTCAACCTTGCCGAATGATCTTATCAGTTTAAGAATTATTTTGAATGAACTGCCAGATGGGTCCTTGTGTTTCCGATAATGTTAAGCTGATTAGCAAATTATGGAAGGTTTGTGTCGATTAGTTGTCTTTCTTTTGCAGGAAGGATGATAAAGGTTGTGTTCGGTAGGACTAAATAGAATCTTACTAGTGTTTCTTTTTTTCATTTTTTTACCTTCTTTCTGGATCTTGGTTTATAACCATTTGCTAGACAATGGCTTCTCATCAAGCTTTGAGCCATATTCTACTGTGTTGTGTGGCTCTAGTTGGTCTGATTTTTCAAAAAGAAGAAATTCTTATGGTCTGATTTTGAAAGATTCCAAAGAACCAACATGCAAAAACATATTTCTTGGTACCTAATCTTTTCCAAGAAGACACTAGGGAGAAGAGTTCTTTTATGCGTCCAAGTCTACCTTCATTCATTCCTAAGCTACATATTTTAGTATGTATATGTATATATATATATATATTAAATTATAAAATGTGTTATTATTATTATTTATAAGGTTGAGTGTTATTAGTGTTATTCCGTGCTAAGCTAACATTAATTAATATATTCCTTTTATAAATACAATGTCACGAGGGTATCCGCCTTTTTTAATTATAAACCTTATACAACAAGAAAATAAATCATATCTATTTATATAAAAATAAAAAATAAACACTAGAAACTCAAGTGTTTTTTTAATTTCTTTCTGAATTTTTAAAACATAAAATTAAATATTATTATTTAATAGCGTGTCGGTGAAAGTACGTAACCGTAACGTCGCCGCGTTGGCTTTCGGGCGTGTCGCTCTATAAAAACCTCACCTTTCTTCTTCTTCCATTTTATCTCCCGGCGCTTTTCCCCATTTTCATAACAACAAACACCAGAGCATCCACAACTCCAAACGCAGAACTTATTATCTTCCTCTTCTACCTTCCTCTAACCTGAAGCGACGTCGTCGTCTGTCTAGACATGTCCTACGATTATCTCTTCAAGTACATAATCATCGGCGACACAGGTTCCTCTCTCCCTTTCTCTGTTTATTTCTTGCTCCCTTTGCCGTTTTGTCTAAACCCTAGGGAGTAGTTCTGTCGAGAATTCTTACAATTATGGAGTGGATTGCTGGTTGTGTGCGGTTCAGGTGTTGGAAAGTCATGTCTGCTCTTGCAATTCACTGACAAGAGGTTCCAGCCTGTGCATGATCTCACTATTGGCGTCGAATTCGGTGCTCGAATGGTCGCTATAGATGGAAGGCCCATCAAGCTCCAGATATGGGACACAGTAAGCTTATTTTGTTGTTTCTGCGGAATCTGTCTGCTGATTATATTCTTACATGATGTACTTGCTTTGCTTGTTCGAATTTTAGGTTTAATGATGTCTGCTGTTTGCTTTGATTAGGTTTTGGTTAAGTTCGTATTCGATTCGCATGCTATTTCTTAACCTTAATTACAAGAAATATGTAC